GTGCACTCAGAATAAAGTCCAAATTCATTTAGCATAAACTGTAACGTTCAGGATCAGGCACCTGCACGGCATTTGGCATTCGTTCCTCCTTTGGTACTTTCTTCCCTCCCTCTCACCAACCCACCCATGACTCTGGGCCTGTCTTCACCTTCCTCTTTTTAAAGGATCTGGGTATGTTGTTTATTCTGACTAGAATATCCTTGCCGGCCTCCTCTAACATCATTTAATTGCCACTCACACTCTCCGACTTTCCTCAGGGGAGCTTTCCTAATAGTGCCAAGAGCTTACCTCAACCACAGCCCCTTCCATGGTAATTATGATAATGTGTTTACTTTTCTACCTCCTTCACTAGGCAGTGAGTTTCTTCAGGGGAGCAACCCTTTCCTTCCTTGCGTTGGAGTCCTAATGCTAGCAAAGGGTATATCCTGTAACCGACAGGCGCTTAAATTTGTGTTGAATGAATGTTAATGAACTGCCTTTCTCTTAAAGGTGGTGCTGTTTAATCTGATCAATCTCATACATTTTGCTTGTCCTTTAAAAGGAAAAAAAGAACAAATGAATGTTATTTCAAAAGTTGGCAATCTCAAATATGGTCAAGAAAATCATGTGAGGACATTTTTCAAATAAGCAGATACAATCCTTTTGCAAGAGTCCCAACACTGTTAAGCATTATTCTAATAGGTAACTACTTACATAAATTCAACTCAAAGTGGAAAATTTATTTTCTGTATTATTTATTACAAGCTTAGTGTAGCCTAAATTATTTAGTCTTTCAAAAAGATTACGCTATTTCCCGAAAGCACTCCCCAATTCACGAAAGAAGAAAAGTCACAAAGTATAATATTATCTGCTAATTCCAAAAAGTAAATTCAAAATTTACTGAAAAATTTTGATACTTGTTTTAATGGTCTCATTGTATAAAGAGGAATGTAATAATGATAATTCTACTTGAAGGCCAAGAGAATATTTAGGGGAAAAAAAACTCTACATGTTAAGGGTATGCTGTAAAAATGTATTCCATATTTATTTCTTTTAAACTGTAATAAATTTAATCCAAAGCCAGACTTAATTTTATTTATTGACTGATTGACTATTTGTTAGAGACAGGGTCTTACTCTGTCACCCAGACTAGAGTGCAGTGGCATCATCATACTTCACTGCCTCGAACTCCTGGGCTCAAGGGATCCCCCTCAGTCTCCCACGTAGCTGAGACTATAAGCTAACACCTGTTTATCAACATCAATTTATATCTCCTGGTATCAACCATCCTCCAAACATTTATTACATAAGTATAGTTTTTTAAAAAGCACGTTAATTTTTAATCACATTCAAAAACTTCTTTAGAGGATCTCTTTAAAAAATGTTTATAGAGCAAATACATCACTATGCCAAAAAAGGCTCACCCTAGGGAAGCTCCCTGGGACTGGTCTTCTGAATCCTCCTACACCAAGTTAAAGACCGACACCTCAAGATACTTTAACCAGACTGGTGTATAAAAACACCGTAAGAAACCTTGCACTGCTTTTTAAAAATCAGTACAATAACAAATGTTCGGGACTGCAGAAAGGCATGAATGGACAAGGCCAAACAACAAAACGTGAAGACAGCATTTGGGGCTCACACAGCTGCTGCATCATGTCAAAAGGAGACTGGATAGAGCGAGGGGGGCTTGGATAAGTTTAGAGATTAAATATGGCATCTTTATGTAAGGTCTTACTTTAAGAGAAACCACAACAGATGCATAAATTTCCCAAACATTACAAAAGTGCTTTTCCATTAGAAATACACAACTTCCAATTGAAGTGGTCAAAATACAATTTGTCCTACACTTCCAATGACTCGTGCTTTCCCAATATTTAACACAACATGCTCAAAATATGTTCCTCTTCTATTAATATACACGAAACTTGGTTCAAAACAAATTCTACAGTGACAGAAATAGTATGGTGAAATATAGCCACCATGAATTAGGTGATAGGCAAAGGGTCCATGATAATATCTTAAGTGTAAGTGTGTTAAGAACATCTATGTATTTCTGCAGCTTCACTTAACTCAGAAGTATTCGAAAAACTCATCTGTACCACCAACTACAGCAGCTGACGTCTATTATTAGGGATATAAACAAGACTAGAATGTCACTCACTGTAGATCCTTTCAAAGAAGATAATCACAAAAACAGTTATATTGGGCATTGAACTAGTTACAACATGGGGCTTTGAAACTAATAAAGAGCCACATTTACTTACTATGAGTTTTTAAGAGATGCTGGAATAACACATTAAGTCATTTATCTGATGTCACAAAATCTGAAATTAAAATAGACTCATCTGGTGCTATGAATAATGAGAAGAATTTTAGGGCCAAATAAGACATTTGTTTTGCAGTTTAAGATTTTAAGGATAGACTTTGTTCTGAGATCTGAATTTGCATTTTAAAATGTGTTTTTGTTCTTGAACAGTTTTAACTTTCTAAAGTGATTTGACAGTTTGCCCTGTAATTTTAAATACTTCCTCATGCTTCCTCTCTTACAGCATATCTATTTTAAAATAGAAGAATACTAAAGAAAAGTAAAAACCTTTATGCTTTGACTGTCAGGTCCGAAAATAATAGTACTCTCAGGTGCGAGAATAATAGTACCTTCATTATATACAGTTCTCTCCTCCATGTACTTTCACTATATACATACGGATGTGTAATTATACATATATGTAGTATATATAATGTACAGAAGTCAAATTATGATATATACATAAAATAATATATAACATGGGATACATAAACTACACCAGACCTAGATGATACTAAAAGGATATCATTACAATCTTAAGACTTTCCTAACATATAAATAGGGATCTTTTCTGATTTCATATTATGCTTACTACATGAATTCGCTAACTGTGAAACACACTGGGAGTTTTCAAACTGTGTTCTGCGGAGCCCGAGGGGACGAAAGAGCAGCCAAGGCAGCTCAGGAGGTAGGACTCGGAGCTCTGTACCCTTACCTAAACCTTACTGCCTCCACATTCATTTGGGACTTCAAGATATAAAATGGTTAGGTTTGGGGTTAAAAAGTAGAGATCGGCTGCTAACATGCACTAATTACAGGAAAATAGGGAAAGCGCCAGTTTAATATTAAAAAATATATTTCAATATTTCGAAGAGTTCGTGACACTTGTATCGCAATCCTTCAGTGATCTGTGAACCAATTATAAATCTACAAATGTCCAAACATACTTTTGCATATTGTAAACAAAAAAAAAGAGTAATAATGCCTAAAATAGATTTAGAGACAATGAGGACAGAGACACAAAAGGAAATATTATCTAATTTAAAAAAGCCTATGATGCTCACACCCATTCTAAAATAACCACCCCTGATTCTGGCCCTGCTGTCGGGGCAGTCTGGGAGGCCACGAGTATCACACACGACCATCTTTATGGCCGTCGGACAAAGGTGGGCATTTGGCCCAACAGCAGCCAATCTACGTGCTGGCCTATGATCTACCACGTGGCCTGGTGCGAAAGGACAAGTTAGACCAATCAGATAATGTCTAAGCATCTGAAGGGAGTAGATAATGAATGAGGGGACGCAAAGCTGACGCAGAAGCTGCCAGGGCACGTAAAAAGGAGCCGGGGGCAGAATCGAGGCCACAGAAGGGCCCTGTAGGCCAAAGCTCTCAGAAAGCAGAACCCATTTAAGGCAGAGGATACAAGACAGAAGAAAACAGAAAAGGAGAGAATATGAGAGAGAACAAAGCAGAGACAAAGACTTCCCGTGAGACAGAAATGCAGGGAAAGAGCACGACAGAGCAATAGTTCCCCAGAACGGCCTCACTTCCCAATAACTTTCTTGTTTCAACACAGATGCATCTTCCTTCTTTATTTAACAAACAAAATCAAATCCTTTTTCTTAAGATACTCTAAGTGAGTCTCAGTCTCTCTTACCCACAACAGGAACTTAATTAAAACTAATATTAATGAGCCCAGGGTTAATGAGAAATTTACACAAACATTAGATATTCTTAAAAAACTACATATAGCATGAGACTTTTCAATGTGCCGAAATCCCCTGCAGTAAGCCAGCAATTGTACCACTCGACATGTTTATACTAACATATGTGGTGGTCAAGATGAAGCTACACTAACAGCATGCTGCAACACATCTGGTGGTCTGTGTTTTAACCCACCCACTTAAACCAAAATTTTAAAAGCCTAGGCAGATATTATGTAATTTGGCTGAAAAGTTTCTTTTACAGAGTTCTTAATATGAGGTGCTACCTTAGAATTTAATGTTACTTATGAAGGCCAGTATGAAAGAATAGACTAGAAGCATTCACACATACCCCAGCAAAGGCAGAGTAATTTTTAAGAAGTTGTTATACAGAAAGAATGGAAAGATTATACAGTTTCACTGTTCTTAAATAATTATGTCAAGTGCATATCAATAATCTTGTCTGATTTGATATTATATACTCCGGAGGTTACTAAATAGGGGTTGAAGGCCATTATCATTGCAGAAGTGCAATGTTTTTTTAAAAAAATAATTAAATTAGTTGATAGAACTTTAAAAACCAAGTGATAATACATATGAGATCTGACATTTCTGGCCTCTCTTGATATACTAGAAATTTGCCTGTATGAATATGTATTTTCACAAGTCAACAAAGGACTATAGCTGAGTAGCAGTTAGTTTACTCCATTTAGATGAGGCAAGGGCATTCCAGTTTCTTCTACTTATCCCCAGTTGCCCGACAATCTCCGTGGGCATTTTAGTTCGTAACCTCTGCTCTACAGATAGGAGATTTATAATCTCACCTGGGCATCAACATATAATTATTAGTTTATAAATAGCAGTACTGCTTTGCTTAAAGGAGGTGATGACCAAGGTAATACGAAATATTTGAAAATTTGGTCCCAATTCTGTTTTGGATTTAATGACAGTTAAATACAGATCTAACTCGGCACCCCACTGATCCTTTTACTTTTCCATGCTCTCCTTACCTTTTCTGTCTGGCTTGAGGTTCCTATCCACAGGTGGTGGTTCACAGTCGGCAACAGGAACTGGCCTTCTGGGAGGGGTCTTTGGGCTAGACCTGAAGCCCATATGAGCAGGAGGAGGAACTTGCATTCCAAATGAAGAAAAATCAAACGTTCCTGGAGTCATTGGCACATAATTTGCTTCCTGAATTGGTTCTGTAAAACTGCTGGAATGTTGTCGTGGTGGTGAGTTGGGATTCATTGGGACGTAATTTTCATCCAATTCTTCGCTTGATACACTTCCCACTGTCAACACATTTTTGGTTTTCTAAAACACACATATATTTATTTTAATAAACAAAAACTACCGTCAAACATGAAAACACAACTGTAAGTCACATCCACTCATTTTATTTTATGATCTCATTTAGTCTCAGGGCACTAAGTATAAAGGTTGTGATAATGAAATACACTCAGTGATGTCAAGTATACTTACAAAGTGGTTATGGAAGCCTTCAAGTGAACTAGATCTATCACTTGGAAATGTTCGTGGAATATCATAGCAGTCTTGAGAACTAGCATCTAAAACAAAAAACAAACTATCAACATTTCTTCCCATCTTTGCCAGCTCTCAGAGTAATCAGGAATGACCTATTCTCTCTGTACACAAGCATGCATGCATGCATTGTGCGCGTGCACACACACACACACAATTTTAAAAAGGATGCTCGCAGAATAATGTCTTGAATTGGCATATTACAGCACTAGAAAATGCAGACACTCACTTATATGCTAACCAATACCAATATCTAATTATGAGAGTGAGTAAATGTCTAAGGCTGGGATGAGATGGCTTATGTAAAGATGGAGAAGAGAACTATTTCTATTTTCTCATCTTTTGTACCACCTTAGGCCTAACTTACAGCTCATTAGCTTATCGCCATGTTACACAGTCACTTAAAGAAAGGAGCTAGAAATTCTTTTGAAGGATTAAATAAATACTCATATTAGTACTACTCACAATACATCAAATCTTTGTCTTAAGATAGCTGGAAAACTTTACCACAAAATACAGAGATGTTAGCACATAGTGTTTAGGGTATGCACATTAAAATCTTTCATTTTCTATTTTTAGGACTTTGAGCATCTCAGAGAATAACCCAGACCCATTTTTTCTCCTCTCAAAGTCTGAAACTTTCAGGTGCAGGCTCTAGGAGTTGGTATTAAAAAAGTACACTCACTAGCAATAAGAAGTGGCTAGTGATAAGGGGAGAGAAGATTCAGCTTTTAAAAAATAAATAAAAAATCAAACAAAAAGCGTAATGGCTTAATTGGAACAGAATATCACCTGTTAGACACAAAGTAAAAATTGCTTATATAGGAAGGAAGGAAACAGAGTCCAACAGATGTGACTTAGAAGCAGCCATAATGGCACACAAATACAGGAAAGGGAATGACTCGGAGAGGCTTTGTGGCTGGTCCATTTCCTGCTCCTCTGCCCCAGCAGAGGAGCTATCCACCCAGGATTATAGAAAGTAGGAAAGAGAGGGACATACTTCCTGAAGCAGGAAGGCATTACTAAGGGCATACTTCTTCAGGGATAAAAAACTCCAACTCTTTCTCCCTTCCAACAGAGCACAAACGCACACGTGTGAACACACGTGCATGCGTATACACCCTTCCAGGGATCTACCGAGACTCTGATATCTTGGTTACATGAGTAGGTAACTGCAGCTGAAGCAAAAAAAAGGACTATTTTTTACAGCATAGTATATCTAACATGTTATACTGAAAAGAACAAACATTCAGAAAAACAGATTTTCTATCACTGACTTCTAATAGAGTAGAAGCCAACTGGAGCTGACCTTTTCTCAATTTGTTCAGATCCACAGTGGAAATGGTGTTACTCCGTGATGGCGGCATCCCTGCTGCAGGGATACAGTAACTACTGTCAGTGTCTGAGGCCGTGCGCGGGATACTGCACGTTTCCACAGGAGATCGGTCATGAACTGGATGTGGTTTCGGTGGCCGAGGTGGAGGAATATCTGGAATAGTGTCCAGCTTTGACGTCTGTCCCAAGGGCCCCTCTGGAAATGTTCGTGGAATCTGGTAAGTATTACCAGGTGTTGGAGGAATGTCATAACTAATAGATACATGCCTCATTTGAGTCTCTACACTCGATGTCCCAGATGGGGTATTAAAAACATAGAGTTCTCCATCTGCTTCGGTACTTGATGGAGACACCTTTGGTAGAACATCGTGGGAATAGCTCCTGGGCAGGTAATACAGGCTGGAGTCTACAGAAACAGACACAGCACGTGAAGGTGGAGAGTCATACATCATTTGCTGCTGAAAAAAGCCATTCACTCCATGTTTGCTCTGGGAGGGAGCAGGATTTTTATGAGCAGGAACGTTGTCATTGCAGTCTGTTTCAGAAGATGTGGATTTTGCAGAGTCAGCATGTGTTCTAAATAAAAAGTGTTAATGACAGAATGAAGATGTAAGAATACATTTTGAATAAATAATTTTATAGCTTAGCAATCAAAAGACAGGGCATTTTTTCATTAGATTTTTTTTTGCATGATCCATGAGATTTAAAGCACAAATATTCTTTAGTTTTTATGATTATACACCAGACAACAAAGCCGCCACCACAAAACCACCAAAAGCATTCTCCCGAATTCCTGTCCTGTGCCTGTCCACACCCCCAACTTCACCTATTAAATCTACACATAAAACCACAATCTCTGAAGCACTGGAATTAGACATCACAAAACTCTGGGAAAGGTAAATGATTAATGTATGGACACAAGGAAAAGCATTTTCTCTGAAGAACATGCAAAAAGTACAGTTTATAAAGTTGATCCATTGTTCTTAAACCCTCCTGTGGCAAATTTGTTGTTCTGTAAAATTGAAAATCTAGTGATTACCTGGTATTGAATAAATTCAGTGTGCCCTACAAGTAGGTAACAACTTAAGAGGTTTCATGTATCTTCCCTTCCACTAATTTTCTTTAACAAACATTTAGCCAACACTATAAAGAGGATCAACATACATGACACCGAATTAATCAACTCCGAACAATAATTAACCTTGAGAAAACTCATTAAAGTATATTTTATGCTTTGGGTACATTTTCAGTCTCTGCTTTTTGAGTTATCAAGAAATGTGGAGTATAAGACAATATAAAGCTAACAAGACAAGCACACACTCTCTCACTTCCTTAATGCTAAATAAGATACATGAACTTCCTATGCATGTTGTCCAAAGTTGTACAGGAATTTAAACATTATTTCTCTAAATAACTTATGATAGTTTTTTAAAAAGAGCTTATCTTCCCTGATTTGTTAGTAACACCTGGCACTATGCACTGTATCGCATTTGCTCCTTGAAACTCTCCCCCTTTGGTGTCAGAGAACCCATATTACGAAGGATTTTTTCTTCTCCCTCACTGATTTTTCCCTGTTTCACTGACTGGCTCCTTCTTCTGTCTCTCCACCTGGGAATGGCTAACAGACTTCAGTCCTCTAACCTTTTACCACACATGCCACTAGAGAATCCTTTTTCATTATCACCTTCCTCTTTGAATGCTAACAACTCCCATCTTCCCACCAAACTCTAAGTCTCATATTGTCAAACTGGTATTTCTACTTGGTTATTACCTTGCTTATGTGCCCCAAACCAAATCCAATTTACTTCTCAAATTGATTGCTCTTCCTGACTTGTACTGAAAGAAATGACTTTACCCAGATTCTCCAGGCTCAAAACCCAATTAGCTTGATTCCTCCGCTTTGATCCCCATAGTCAAGCAGGCACTGAATCCTTCTTCCTACCCGCCCACCTATTCCCCTGATCTATCCCCACTGCCACTACCCCAAGTCCATGTCCCTGCTGAGACTCCTAACTGAACTCTCCTAATGGAATTTCCTCTCTCCCTCTTCCATTCTATTCATGGGCCCAGACTGCTACATTGCTCTAAGAGTGGTGTTCTCAAAGCATGGTTTTTCTGTCACTCACCTTCTCAGAGAAAAATCTATTAAGGGTCCCTACAGCCTGTGGGAACTATTAGGCCACAAACTAATCCACGTAGCACTGAGGTTACTAATAGCCTGGCTCCGCCTTCTATGTCCTGTCTCTTGCCCTGCCACTCCCCAAGTTGAACCCTTTCCTCCAAGAGGCTCTCTCCTTCCTCATTATCTTCCTCCACCATGCTCATTCTAACCTCTCCTAACTCTCATGCTGTTATTGTACAAATTACTAATGATATTCTCCTCTTCTCTCACAACTAGGTCTAGTTCAAATCCTACTCCTCCTATAAAGCTTCTGTTTTCTCCATCTTAAAAACACTTGCACTGTCTCTTTGTGGAATTTCTAATGCACCTACACATCTTCTAAAATGTGCACTTCATTTAATTCAAATGTAGAGTAAAGAGGAGTGAGAGGTATAAGGATTAATAAATAAACCCCTTGCTCTGATCAGCTTATAGTTTAGTGGATAATAAGTAAAAATATCAATCTATTTCCAATACTGTGATAAAACAAGATATGGAGACATAATTGGGATGCCATAAAAACCCAGAAAGACATTTAATCCAACCTGGGAGTCTGAGGCAATGTTTCCTAGAGGAGCACATGTCTGAGCTGAGTCTTGCAGGAAGAACAAAAGTTTGCAAGGCAACTTTCATATATTATCTTCATCTATAAATACTTAATGCTTGCACATTACTTAACAAGATTTACTTGTAAACTTCAAAGGTGGCTGTATCTGAGGAGACTGTATCTTATATAATTAGTTTATATCTTCAGAACACACAGCATAATAGTGGACGCAAACATGAATATTTGTTATTTAACTGTTCAAATTGTTTCAAAAATACAGATGGCAAAATATACCTGGGCAATGATTTTGAGCCTAATTTGTAGTGCAACCAGAAAGCCGTGATGCCAGTGAAATCAATGAAACACACTATGTAAAAAGAAAATGTACTGAAAACTGTCACTTGGCTGTTGGATTTTAAAAAGTTCCTACTGAAAAATAATTGTGAATCTTCATAAAATAAAAACCTTAGTTAGTAGCATAGGTAGCAAAGTTGCGAGTGTGTAATTTTAAATACTCACAGCAAACAAGCAAAATCAAGTTAGAATTTGGTATTATTAATGAGTCTTGACTTATAAGATTTTTTTTTGCTCTTAAAGGTAAAATCCCATTACAACAAATATATAGAAACCCATCTTTGAAATGTGTGTGAGCTGTTCCCATCATCTCAGGGCATGTTTCACAGCAATTATTTTGCGGATCTTAACAAATTCTATATAAAACTTTTTTTGAACAAATGCTCTGATCTTAGTCCAGTAACAACCACTTTCTACATAGAAAAAAACCCTTTTGTCATAAAAGTAATAATGCTCAATATCTTATAATCCTGTTTAAGATACATCTTTCATGTCCACTATTGCAGTTCACCCTCACTTTTATGCTGTAAATAAATATGGCCAATTGACTGATGATATCACTAATTGTCACATAGCTGTTAATGGCAGAGTCTGGCCTCTCCATCATTATTTCCCTATTCCTTTTTAAAATATTAAAATTGCCTTCTATCTCCCTCTGTCACCTTGAGCCTTCCAAATACTCCGTGTCAAGTGACAAGGAAGATCAAATTAAAATATCTTATAGTTTAGAAGAAGAGAGAGGTGTAGAAGCAGGGAAGCAGATGGTAGGGAAACCAAAGATTTAGGAAAGGCTTTATGACCCTTCTGGTCAAGTACTTTGCTCCATATACTTCTTTCTATTTAAAATTGTATAAAGAAAAGGCTTGGCGTAAGCTCTGTTTCATTGCTAGGTATGAAAATTGAAAGTTTCATAGTTTTTAACAACATATTTACTTCGTTAAATTTAATGAAAACCCAAGTTGTAGATTCCATGGAATTTGCTATATTGGGATTTTACCTATATGATTAATTTCTCACACAGATCCAAAACAACCACGACACACTCACTGAAATGGAATCGTTTTGCTTTCAAAATCTTCTAGTAGTAGGTATTCCTCTCCTTCTTCAGAAACAAAAGATGACCCTTGGCTGGTTTACAATCACATAAGAAATGGAGCAAGGTCACCATTTATAAATCAGTGAAATCTGTTAAGCAAGTAATACTGTGAGTCTGTAACAAAGACTATAAAACAGCAGACAGATTTCCAAAAGGGCCTTGTGGGCACAACTGTTCTTAGCCAAAGATGGTAGAGATTGTGTTTCTTTAATAAAATCTCCTCAATATCAGAAATCATTAATAGTGGAATATAAAAGCTGAACTATAAGCCTGAAACATACGCCTGTATAGATGTTTTTTTTTTTAAGCCTGCAAGTCAAGGTTAAAAACCTTTAAAGGTAAGAGTCTTAAACGTGTACACACACACACACACACACACACACACACACACACACACACACACAATCACACAGGCATGTATCACACAATTCACCTGGTGGGTTCAGGCTTCTTGCTTTGACAGTTGATTAGCAAGAGGTAGTCTTGAGGATCCTCCTGGAGTCCGAGAGCGTCCAGGTGTGGGGGGACACTGATGAGCTGATATGGAGGAGGGAGAGCAGCGGAGGACGCATCCACCTGGGTGGATGGTGGTGCTGCATTTACAGCTAAAGGTAAATCAGCTGGTGCTTGTAAGGAGCCGCCGGGTGGCTTCACAGGATCTGCAACACCAAAGTTTAACCATCACTGTCTGTCACATCTTAAGATTTTTTTTTTTTTTTAAACAAAGCTACTTTAAAGTTTGCAGATAAATTGTTTCAATGCACAAGAACAGAATAAATCTGGACGAGGTCAGTTAAAACAAACACTACCTAAAGGGCAACATTTGTACAGGGAGTAATTGGTTCTCATCAAAGAGATCTAAAGAGCAGGACTCTTTCTCCATTCCAGAAGCTCTAAAAAAGCCATGGTTAACCTTGCCTTGAACCGTCTTTAGTTTTGAGGCTACTGGGAATGAAGGTGTTCTTACCATCTTAGCAGAAGAGACTGGCTTTTTTCCCCAGTGATAATAAACAAAGTGCTTCCTAAGCCAAGCCAACCTTCCAAGGAGACCCATTTTATTACATGGCACTTACAGGCCAGGCCCATAGCACTGTGAGTACCAGGGTCTCTTTACCCAATATTTATTTTGGTGTTTGTTCTTTTCTTTCTACTTCTTCGCAGACTAGGGAGAAATAGTTCTACTTCTGGGACTAGTAAAAATAAATTCTACTCATGTTCAGGGAAAGAGCTTCTTTAAGGCATCATCTCTTCACTAAGCTCATAGCCTCATTTGCCTCATTTGTGGGTTTCTGGAGTATTTTCATGAAAAGGGGTCAGAAGTAAAGAAGTAATTTTTTAAGCCCTTACCTATGTTCTCAGAGGACATATAAACATAGCTAAATTGTACAGAAAAAGGAATTTGAAACCACGTTGAAATCCTAGAAATAAAACCCCACTATAATCACTGACATAACAAAGCATAATTATAAGGGACCAGAAGAAAATGCTCTTTGGTCTGGTTAGGAATGCAAGGCTATAAATAATCTAGAAATAGGCAAATGCTCATATGTGAATAAAAAAATTTATTTGTTGTCCGTTTATATTAGAACAGAAAAAACTGTGTTGAAACAGATTTTCCACAACAAAACATTACATAAAAGATGCCAGAAAGTGGTAAGGGAATTAATATGTTCTACCAAATAGAATCAACTGCAGGTCATTTGGCCTGTTAACTTACCAGAGGGGGCTAAATGTCAGCTCTGTCTTCTCTAAATACTTAGAATAAATCCGCATGCTTTTGATAATGTCTTTATGTATATAGCTGTAATATTCATATATGCACCACAGTCGATTCTACTTTGCTCATTTTACAACTCTTCCTCCTAGGCCTAGAAGGTCATGTCCTAACTATGAAGCCTGAATAGCACATTAATATGGCTAAATGTATCTCTAATTGTAGGTCCCAATAACAAAAACAAAAAAGGATCGGAACTCCTATGCTTCACTGTGCCTTACATGTAGTAGATGCTGAAAAAAATGTTTCATTCACAGGGCAGAAACTCACTGAGCACTTTCTCTATGTCAAGTTGGAAGAGATTAAAGCAAGGGGCACTTCCAAATCTGTAAGATCCATTCACCTGCATGTGCAATTTGGGATTTGCTCCTCAAGAACTCTGTGAGCCCTCCTAGATGTTAATTAAGTTTGAAAACTTTCCATTAGAGAATAGGGCCCGAGGAAATGGAAGCTGAGCTAACTTCTAACTTTTTACCTTTGCTATGCTTCAAGCAATGCCAAGTCTTTACACAGGCTCGTCTAACAAAACCTAACATCTTATGCCAGGTATGAATTCATTTTTTCTTTCTTATTTATGGAAAGTGAGAATAGAAAATGGTCAGAACAGAAAAATGAATTTTTGGATATTTATATAGCATAATGCCATCATTTCAGAGGGTGCTCATAAATACATATTGTCATGTTAATAGATGTGAATTATAAAATGGTGACTATAACATACCCTATCAAGTATTTTACTTTGATTCAGTTGCAAATACATAGAGATTTATTTAAAAGGATTTAATATACCATAGATTAAATAGTGACTCACAGTAAATCCTTGTGGGTTTGAGAGATTATGAAAAATATTTACCTTTTAAAGAAGAGCTTAAGAAAAATATATACAACATCGAGAAGGAAAAAAAAGAAAAAGAGGGATCAGAAAGCTGTTAATGTATCCCATAGGCTGTAGTCACAAGTATGTTTTATATACTTCTCTTTCCTCTACTGTAGAGGCATAATAAAATTAAATAAACCAGTTCAATTTTTAGTTCTCACCCAAAACAAAATACTGGAAATACTTCACTATATGAAATAGTATGAATTCTAGCTTTGCACTCTAACTCCTAAAATAACTTTTCCAGGTGGTTGTTTTTGTAGCTACGCTTTTAACTTTTTCTAAACTTGATGGAGATACACTAAATGAATGGAGTGATTCATCTTAAGTGGGAAAAGAAAATCACCCAGCCAGGCAATCACGTTTGTCCGACCTTGTTTCATTAACACAATGGGACCGTCTCATTTTTAACCTTCCATTTCTCTCCCCTGTGAATGAGGAAAGTGTTTTACCCTCTTTATAGCTGCAAGATCCTCTCAATTTTCTGAAAAGAGGCCTAGGATTCAAAGCTTCCTTTTTAAAATATAACTTGTTCACAATATGTGAAGATTTATAAGTAGTTCTAAGAGGAAATAACTGGAGAAAAACTTCCATTATGTTCACTAGCAAGCTCATGAAAGTAAAGACCTTTAAACAGATATACAGGCAACCCCAACCATTCTAAACAACACTAGCATACAAAGGAGTTTAAAAGGGAAGAAGGAACCACTCTACCACTTTGGCTCAGATAATTGTACTATCTTCAAAGTTTTAGCCTTTGAGATTATTTTTCTAGTATTAATTTGACCATGGTACTCAGTTCTGCATATTTTAGCACAAGCATTACATTGTGTGTAAATATTCTCTAACATAAGATTTCTGGCTGAAGTTAAGCAACTGGTCTGAAAAAAGAAACTTCTGTTCCACCTTATAAAGACATGTTATTTTTCCCTATTCTATGCTAGAAGTAATGGAACAGACCATTTTACTTTGTGTCTTGCTTGGGTTTCTGATTTACTGCTCTAAGTAACACTGATATCATTTCTAAGAACCACATATTGGTTTAGGGTTTGCTAAGTGTGTAAAATTGTTTCCCATCTCTTAATTCAGAAGGCATGAAGAGCATAATTAACATCCATTAAAGGCCTAATAAGCTGCTGGAGCAAACTCATAACTGAAATTTCTTTAGAAAGCTATTAAATACTGCTAAGGAAAGCCTTTCAATGAAAAAGCTCTCAGTGAAGATTATGATGTGATGAGATCCACAAATATTAATAATAAACTGGCCCATATGACCCCCCACACAGTTTTATCATATTCGGAATCATAATGCCCTGTGTTAGTGTCCCTCACAAAAGCTGGGGTGCCTGGATAATGCCTCTAAACATTCCAAATAATTACTTTTAAGCTCTAGGAAACAATTCTACTCTTTTTACTGGTAAGGTAGAATGTTTCCAAGTTGATGTGATAGGTTAATTTTGTAACCACTAAGTTACTGTATCTGAGTATGTATTAATAGCAATAGACCTATGGTGCTGCCCATGGTTTGTCAGGAGACCAGATGAGATTCTTTTCTCCCAAGATGGCTATATCTACTGATAAAATAGTTTTTTTGTTTCTATTGTAAAACCTCACCTTTATGTTCACAACTAAAGGTAAATAGGTCAAGGTTACTCTGTTTCTACTGATTGCTGATTTATCTGGTGTAAAGAATTTTTCTTTCTGTAAAGAGAAGCATTTCAAATAGATTTGTCTAATTAATTTAGCAAATAAAAGTCTACGAACAGTATGCATTATTAATACTGATATATCCATTTTCTTACTTCTGAATACAACATTTTTAATGGAAGAACATTTTACAAAAGTAAATCTAAAAAATGGATACAAACAAGAAACAGCAGTCGTTGTGGTTTTCAATGAAGCAACCTGCAGTTTCCTCAGTTTATTTAATCAGCTATCGAAGACCCCTAATCACAGCACAATCTGTTTAATGTGTTTCAAGTAGAAAAATTATCTTACTTGTCATGACTTTCTCCTCAATACGACTGTGAAAACATTCTTGGAGACTTTAAAATCAACCCATAGGCAATGCTGACAAATGGCATAATTCTTATGCAGAGGTATGATAGCATCAGAATCTCTTATGGGGCATTTTAGAAATCTAGGTGGCTAAGCTCCACCACAGGAGACTCTTAATATATCAAGATCTCAAAGGCAGTAGCTTGAAAATGTGTAATAAAACAAAACAGAAAAAACAAACCAAAAACTTACTCTCTAGTTGAATTGGTTCTTAGGAAAATGCAAATTAAAACCACAAGATACCACTATACACCCACTAGAATGGCTAAAATTAAAGAGTGACAATATCAAATACTGGTGAGAATGCAGAGTAACTGCAACTCTCATACAATGCTTGTAGAAAAACAATCAGTACAACAACTTTGGAAAACTACAGCTACTAACTCTACTAAAGCTAAATATACATATTTCCTGTAACATAGCAATGCTACTTATGAGTATACACCCAAGAGAACTAAGTTTTTATGTCCATCAAAAGACACATAAGGAATGTACTCTGTAGCTTTTATTTGGATTAACTAAAAATTGGAAATAACTCAAATGTCCGTCAGTATTCAAATAGATCCACATATTCACACAATGGAATGCTACACAGGATGAAGAACTCCTGCTACTTGCTACATAAATCTCACAGAAGCCAAGCAGGCCCATATGACCCCTCACCTAACGTTTGGTTTTACCCTATTTGGAACCACCGTGTCCTGGTGTTAGCGTCCCTCACAATAGCTGGGGTGCCTAGATAATGCCTCTAAACATTCAAAATATTATATTTAAAAAAAAACAAATGGTACAAGAGTTTAAGCCCTAGTAAACAATATTGGAAAAATGAAGGCAGACTCAATGAAGTTCACTTATATGAAGTTCAAGAATAGGCAAAACTAATTTATAGTGATAGAAGCGAAAAGGTAAAAAAATAAAAAGGGTTACATCTGGGTGAGACCTTTACTAGG